CATCCATTTGATTTCAGTTGACGAATCGGGCGAGACGCTTTGAGACAAATCGAACCTAATTGGCGACGAAATTACGGTCACCAACAAAGACAGCGTTAAACAGATGAAGTACGATAATGAAGGCCACGACCCTAATTTACTCATTAATATAATCTGTATAAATGGTTTCTGATCAAATCTTTATCCATGTAAGTTTATGTTATGACCCGAGGCACACATAAATAAGAATAGATTTAGTCCAGTGTTTATCGATCATATTTGATGTACATCGTAAATCGACGGGCACAACTCCAGACATTGCCTTACTCTGGGTAAATGTCCTGAAGGGGTTAATTGTCACTTTTGAAGAGCAAGTGTAAGATTCGACTCGTAATTGGATGTTACCAACGACTAACTGTTGTTTTAAGGAAATGGACTGAAAGTAAAACACCTGGGTCAAGAATACAATTTATAATCAATAAAATTGAAGACTTCGTTTTACGATCTTTTAATGAAGAAATTTTAATCTAAGATATTGATCGCTTGAAAATGGAAAATAGTTGATTCTGTCGCACTTGTAAAGATTGCACTAAATATAGACCTGTATGAGTGGTTTTGATGGTTCTTATGATTTCATGGCGTTTTTTAAAAGAAAAATTGAGAGTCTACAGTTGAAATTGTCATCTTGAATGACGGTAAAACTCTAATAATCCTTAAAAGTGCAGACAATGAAGTCGTTCAATCATAATTTTTTTATTTTGCCATAAATTTTTCTTCGATTGTGATTTAACAGCGAGAATAAAGAGTAAACAACATTGAATAAACAATGGGAATAACTGGCTTTATAAGAAATCCCATATGAAAACATTAGGAGTCGATAATAAGAAAATGAACTAGAGGATTGAGTGAAGATATTTAACATGGGATCATACAAAAATGGGACTTATAATATGCGACATCGATACCAAAGTAGTCTTTGACCGATGTATTAATTTGTATCTATGACATAGTACCTGATACCACCAAAAACATATCTGTAAATGTGAACCCCGCTATTGTTCATTATGTGTACATTGGAATATTACTATTCAAACTTTCCCAGTAGTGTTGCCGTTGCAGGACACACCTATTATCATGAAGTGGGCTTTGGTCTACATCGCAACTGACAGAATTTGAGAGCAAAGTGGAAGAATACCACCAATCGCCGCATTTATACGACCATTGAACCGATGACAATTATTATCAGGTATCAGTCTGTGGATCAAGCCAGCCGACTGATCCGATGAGATGTTGTGCAACACAGTACCCGTCTTTACTGCCTTTAGATTAAAGGAATCGTATACATAAAAATATCTGTTTTAATAACTGAATATCTTCACAATCCTAAAATTTATTTTGTCATTTGATTATTTCCCTAAAAGCAACGTCTAGTAATGATTTAAAAGGGTTATTTTTTTAAAATACGATCTGTTGTGTTCTTTCACATAGTTAAGTGGTAAATTCACAATCTATGACAAGTCTCTCAATTATTCATTCATGATCAACTGTAGTATTGCTATTGACAGAATGTAAGAAACAAACAGCACATAATTGATTTATGTTCATGGTTCATTGTTCTTACGGACAAATGATTCATAGCCGAAATTATAGCACATTGACAGTGGTAAATCCCGTTGAAATTTTTTTTTTAAATCGGACAGGGTATGGGATGCTTACTCTTCCAGATTGATTGATATACTTCCTATTGTGAAAAGTTCATTAGCTGCTTACTAATCGTTAGTACTCGGTTTCTTTATTCACGAAATAGATAGGAGGATAAAAACTCAGGAGGGAGCAATTTGGTTGCTTGTTTGACTACAAATCGAGAAAGTTTACTACAGAAATTTCTGTTTGTCGGACTGCTTCTCTGGAACGGCGCAAGTCGTGGAAGTTTACACAAGAAATTGTCTCTTGTTCGACTTCTTCGCTGGAACAGTGCAAGTCGTGAAATCTTACACTAGAGTATAATGCTTCCAGGAGGTTTTCTCTTTTTTCATCATTTGTGGTTTATTATCTGGATCACATTAGTGCGCTTTACTTAAATCATGCGATATTTGATCAGTTTTCTTTAAAAGGTCACTTCAGAAAATGGTTGCAATAAGATGAATTTTTTTTAAGGCGATGTTCAATATGCTGGATGAAAAGCTTCATGACGTTAAATGTGAATGAATCAAATTGCCTGATACAAAATCTAAATGTCAAATGGAAACTTGAACCTAATTTTGCTAGTAATTTGTGTTATTAGAAATATGAAACTGAATTGAAGTGCTAACATGGAGAGTTAAAATGAAGCAGTTTACTTAACACGTTGCATGTTTCTAAAATTGCTTTTGCCAAACCCATTTTAAAGTGAAAGAACATATTTTATTGCTATTGTTTATGGAGAAAATACACGAAGTACCGTCGTAAAGATATCTGATGTAAATGGAATCGTCACTAAAAGTGGTAAATTGAGTTGATAGATAGAAAGTAATTTAGGATCTATAACATTGCCAGTGTGCTTAAAGAACACAATGTGCAGACACTTCTGCTGGAATCAACATCTAGCCTATTGATTCTGGAATAATAATAGTAAGCAATTTCTTTTCAGTTCGGTTACTTTGCTGATTTGTCCAAGTGAACAGTTAACTCCCATTTCCAAAACTAGCTGATCTGACGAGGATTATGTATCCGCAACACGTGTCGTTAGCATGAAGTGTGATCTATATACTCGATGAACTCGATGAACTCGATGTCTGTTACTTGCAAGATTAATGCCATGAAGTTAATGTTAAAACAGAATGTATAATAGAAAAATAGAAGATAATATCGGTAGTGTCAATATATTAAATTGGAATTATTCCGTGTGATCTTTTAATAAATTGTGTTACTAATGATTCAATACGATACAAGATTTGATTTAAAAACAATTTCAATTCTAATCCTGTTGGTCTTTCAATAAAGGCTGAAATTCCTGCCTTCTAAAATCCTAAAATAGGTATTATAGTAAGGTTGATTTCACCTTTATCTCGTGTGAAATTTTGACGGTACTTAATCTTTTCCGGATTCCTCTGGATATTAGAGAAGCACTAAGCAGCTTCTATGTACACCGTTGTGTAAATATTTATGGTGCTCAAATCCTAGCGATCACCAGTTGCGTATGGTTGCGAATCATATACAGTGGTAAGAGCTCCTTGGATTCCATTTATTTGCGCAAAATAAAACTAGTATACGTATGATATTGGGTAGGTTTGACCTTGAGGAAAAAATAAAACAAACTATGTTATTTAAGTTTAAGTAATAATAATATTAATAATACTTATTAAATGTTATTCTCTTCTTGGGTATAGGTAAAATATAATATACTGATTGACGGTTATTAATCTAAACAAAAGACAAATCAATACGGATTTCAGCAATTAACAAATTAAAGGAAATTTTTGACCGCATCTATGTGAAATCCATCAATGCGGAATAATTGGTCTAAAAGAATATTTTCAAGCTGTATGGGAGCAAATGAAGCTTGAAACTATAATCCATTCAATAAGACGGTGATATATCGCATTGTTCATTGAGGCCCTAATTTAGTGATATGAGCTATATTTCTAATACAATAATACATAGTTTTACAGTTCAGTGTAATTTAACTCGTACCATCGATCTCATGAGGTGAATCCATTACTGCTATAATTATAGCTTGACTACCGATTCCCCATACCTGCACGTAAGATTTTGGACGAACATTGCTTGTCTTGTTCATTGATAAAAAGAAAAACTACAGTCTCTTCGTAATACTATTTTAATTTGTGGTTGGTTTTCCTTATTTTTATTGCTCATATATTGATTTATATATTTCTATTTTTCAGACCAATATCTAATGATAAGTGGAGAAGTCTATTGACTACCAGTTAGCATAGGACAAAGGCCAGATCCTATGACACTTCGAAGGGTTGATTTACTGAAGTAAACATATTACGGAAAGACTGTGTTTTCTCGGGATGTAACAGATTTCAGAACGAATTTAAATTACAGATGCAAAAGAACACGTTATAACTTTTTCCTGTAACGACAATACAACCATTATTTATTGTGAAACTATAAATTTTACTAGAAAAAAATAATTCATCTGGAGTTGACTTACTGGTAGTAAATAATACCCATATATTAACAATCAAATACATCTATACATCACTATGGGTTTTTATACCAACATAAAATATACATTGACAGTCAGCTGAATAATAATGTGGACTACTGTATACTAAAAAATACATAAATCTGGTATGATACTTGTTTACTTTTTTATTTCTCTCTGGACCTAAAACAGTATTGGAGCTAGAATTAATAAGTTAATTAGAACTATGCTGAGACCATAAACAACTCGGTTAAATACCTCACGCAGATACTCTGGATTAGTATTTTGTCTGATAATTTCTACACAGCTAGAATCATATTTCTTTTCTGTAAGCCACTGTAAAGGAAGATGTACTGTGAAGACGATAATGATGTAGTATATCATGTAAATGGATTGGAACGGCGATGTCAGAAATCTCTCGACCATAACGCTAAATACTGGCAACAACTTATCGTCTGTTGATATAATATGTATTCATATACTCGTGGTTATTTTACGCTACCAACAGATAGACAATAGAAGTATCAGTGTGAACAAATCAAACATTATTTCCTTAATCCTTTAGGTTTGTATTGTATTAGATCAATGTCTTGTACATCGATACTTCTTTTCTTAACTAATATTCAGTCAGATATAATTCAGTGTTCCTGTCGAGTGCCGTCGTGGATATACGTATCCTATATACTTAGCATGGTGTCCAATCAATGTGGAATTAACTAACGAATAACTGTATCTCCCAATTTGATGGGACTTCGCGATTTTCCACTTTTTTACACAAGTGTCTATAATACAATTTATATGTGTTCTGTATCTACAGCGTCCACAGAAAAGTTTCTCAAAAATGAAAATCTAGTTATGTGCTATTAAAATGTGTTATTTCAAAATATGTTCTTTGGAAATTCTACTGGTGTTAGCGCTTACTGTACCGGAGTGTTACGGAATAGTGAATATTACTGTTGGATATCTTACTGTCAGTAAAACTAATGAATTTGTTCGCGGAAAACAAGGAAGGGTGATATCAGGTGCCTTAACATATGCTGTGGACGAAATCAATCAAAATACTTCCATATTACCGGAATATCATTTGGATTTCATTTGGGATAATACTTGGGATGATACATTAATATCTACTGCTAAGCTCACCGAACAATGGCGTAAAGGAGCGGTGGCTTTCTTTGGACCAGAAGATGGGTGCACAGTAGAGGCACGAGTTGCCGCCGCCTGGAATCTACCTATGATTGCCTATGTAAGTTTTTTGTGTATTTTTTTGTGTATTTTTCACTACTGACAGGGAAATACTGGTGATAACGTCAACATTATCATGTATCTCTATAATCAATTACAAGCAGGAAAAGTATTCTTTCCTCTTTTCAACAGTAAATTAACAACACATTTTAATGTACACCATAAGTACCCTTTACCGTTATTCGTTAGTTATTGTTAGCACTGTTAAAATTGAGTTAATTTTATTCGACGTAAAGCTCTCTTGCCTTTAATGAAACCAATATACATGTACGACTGTATGGCTGTACTGTAATTGAGTACTGTAATATATAAGGAAGAACTAGGAATTCATTATCAAATATGCTTATCCTCACTTGTCGAGCTTGCTCGCTAATCTGAAGGTTGGAGGGACAGACATGGAAAAGCCTCTAGTCGTTCGGTTTGGAATAAACCGAGACCCCGAAACTGGCACGTAAAAGATCCCTCGAAATCCAACAAGGCTAATGCCGCTGTTCAGGCAAAATTTCCCTCATTGCACAACTGCGGGGCGTCTTCATCAGCAGAAGAGGTGCAGAATAGTAGGACGTAAAATTTAATTTGTTTGCGAATTTAAGCTACCTGTGACCATTGGTACGACTACGATGGCATATAGCAAGTACTAGAAAATAAAGTCCTACTAATAGATACATGCGACAGTCAGTCTCTTTTAGTTATAGCTGAATTACGTTGTCAAGAAATAAGCGAGTTTCACAGACTGAAAAATACATGAAGACAATATTAACTATGCAATAATTCAATATATATTGAATATAACGCTTGGCTTCAATTAGATCAAAGCAATTGTTATCCTGTTTTTATACCAATTACGTTCTGTTAACATTGTATATGAACAAGATAATGTGAATTAGTATAATGTTGTACCATTAGTGGTCCTATAGGAAATCACACTGCTCTATTCTTAACTTTGATTTATATAGATAAAGAGAATTGGGAATTGTCCCTGAGCTCATCACATTATCATCATCAAAAACTTGTGACTTTTATTTAAAAAATTAAGTTGATTGTAACGTCTTTTAATGTTGAAAACTTGTTTCCTAAATGAAACGAAATGAAGTTTGATACTTAAAGGTTGATACTCATTTGATATACTTCTGTTGATACTTATTTGATTTACTCTGGTTAAAGGTTGATACTCATTTGATATACTTCTGTTGATACTTATTTGATTTACTCTGGTTAAAGGTTGATACTTATTTGATATACTTCTGAAAAGACTTCAGTAGAAGTTTGATACTTTAAGGTTGATACTCATTTGATATACTTCTGTTGATACTTATTTGATTTACTCTGGTTAAAGGTTGATACTCATTTGATATACTTCTGTTGATACTTATTTGATTTACTCTGGTTAAAGGTTGATACTTATTTGATATACTTCTGAAAAGACTTCAGTAGAAGTTTGATACTTTAAGGTTGATACTCATTTGATATACTTCTGTTGATACTTATTTGATTTACTCTGGTTAAAGGTTGATACTCATTTGATATACTTCTGTTGATACTTATTTGATCTACTCCAGTAAAAGGTTTATACTTATTTGATATACTTCGAGTGTGTTATTCCAAAATTAAACCAATATCTCCACCTAAGGAAAACGATGAGGAAAACGATTAAATGGATAACTTATTATTATCCACTCGATGTAAATTTTCAATGTCACGTGACGTATAGTAGTTTAACACTATCAATTTTTCTTGGGCACGCCTTAGTATTAACCCTTCGTTGGAAGAATGTCGCATCATCATTGTGTTGTTGGATGTCGAAATATTACAATTTCATCGTAGTACCAATCCTGCATTATCTTTTCGTCATAGGGATATCGGTTAATACATTTGTATTACATTGTTATTTTAATGCTGACACAGACTTCCTTTCTTTTGTCGCAGCTATGTCATTTTGAATGCCATGCTATTAATGGTTCGTTTCTGCAACAAGGTCGTTAGAGCTACAGCTGACAAACATTCGAGGGCTGCTTGTCCATGGCTTGATATCAACTCATTAACCTACTTTTAAGCATGGTTTCAAAGCCACCATATAAACAATCTTTGAAATATTAATACACTACAATAAACCCGTATTTATTTTTGACAGATATTTACGATCTTTTTACTTCATTATATATAATCAATTGCTTATGCTGGTATTATAATCTATTAACAGATGGTTATGTCTACAGAAAAACCGAGGCCGAAACGAAGCAATATGCCATCGACATCAAACATGAAATCACAATGATTGTTCAAGATTCCCGTCTTCAGACTCTAACTGAATTGGCTCTGTTTAAAATAAAAGCTAATAAAAAACCGAATACAATTTTGGTCAAATTTGGTCATAAAAGTAAAGACCAATGAAACGGTATATCCATATCCTTATACATCGATACATAAGGATTATCATTGGCTGATTTTTTCATAACAGTATGGCTAATGGCTGTCCTAATGTCAATTAGTAATGGCGTGACTAGTTAAAATTGATACGAAGTCGATCTTTTTTTATGTAATTGATCATGCCAGACTAATTGTTGCGCACTAGAAATGAAGAACTGTAATTGATAATTTCGAATATAAAACATTCCATATCGCAATTCATCGTTTAATCAAATTACCAGTATTTATTTTTTATCGCGCCTATGTTCTTTATGTCATTGTGCTGCTGATATCCTCTTCAAATAAAGTTTTTCTACAATTATGGCTCAAAACAACTTTTAATCTACAGGTTCTGTCAGACGTTAAGATTAATAGTTTTTACTGTTTGATCCTTTGACTTGTTTTAATATCCTCTTGCTTGTTTCAACCACATTTTGTTGCCGTTATTGCATTTTGGTTGATTTGACTATAATACGAGACATATTTGTGATCTGAAGCACGAGTTCAAATTTGATATTCTAAAAGGTTTTTTGCATTTAAATTATAAGACGGAGAACCAAAATATTAGTGTTGGCAACGAGAAAATGAAGATGTTCCATTAAAAGGACTGTAAAGAGGTTTTCTTAACTTTTTTATGGGTATCGGACACTTATCGGGACATTGATATAGCATCAATTTGCAACTTTCAGCTTTTACGAGGTCATAAAAGGCTTAGTTTTAGTGGTACCAGGAACCATATATGTCTGACTTAAAATTTGAATGGTTTTAATGGTGCAAATCGCTTCTGCTAGTCTCCCAATAGACATAAAAGTTGAGCAAACCTCTTTACTATCCCTTCAATTAATATCAGATTAGTTCAAATGTGTCTCAGACATTGTAAATGGCTTGTAGACATTACCAATTCACAGAAAAGAAATTTAATTATACTGAAATACTTCAGCATTTGGTCAATTCCTTAGCAACTTTTGACAACAAATCTATCTAATTATAGTTAATTTTACAGTAACAGTCGTGGTAAATGTACATATCGTGTAAATCAAATATTCATGTTGTCTGTATCGAGCATGTTGAAGTTTTCAGAGAAGATCCCAAGTTTGTTCGTACCTATTATAGGCACATCAAACCTGAAAGGCGTCCGTTATGAGCGTGTTCTGGAAGGAAGCGTCAGATATCGCATGGTACGTGCTATTGCCGTTGATATCGCCACGGAATACAGAATTATTTCGGTAAGTGCTGTAAGTGATAACGCACCATAGAGTCCAAAAGTCCATAGATTTTATTAGAAACGTGTCTTGGGAACACAATATGATTGCATATGGTAACAGTTTTATTGCGAGTGTTATAAGAATTTGTAATTTTATGGAACTTTTTCTCGCGTATCCTTTAAGTTTTTCCACAGCCCAGTACGTTTTTGGTCGCCGCAAGATTGCAAATAATAGCAGTCCGGTGTGACGAGTCTGTATTATTAAAATCTAAATCGATAAACCGTTCAGCTTCATTTTTTTTATGTAAGGCTTAATATTGCCTATTTGCTCGATAGCATTTCCATGGAACTGAAATTATCCCTTTACCTAGCGTTTGTTAAAATCCATTAAAAATTAACACATTATTAAAATACAACATATTTTTAATACTTCATTATGGTTTATTTAGAGAAAACCTGTTTTCGTACCAGTGTATGGAAAGAAAAGAATTCTTGGTCCTGGAGACATCTCCATTGTCACTATTGTTGTTATTGCGAAATATAATTTGATAAAGATTAAGGGATTATTTCTTGAAATTGCCATATTTAATTAGGACCCGAGGTTTAAGGCTATAAGTTTAAAAACTATAATATACTTAAGTCAACAAATATATTTGTGCCCGCGATCATATCAGTCCAGTAAACATTTAGGTATAATATAGTAAATTGATACTTTACAAGCCAGCCGTATAATGTATTCATTACTAAAAATATTACCTAAAATACAATATTCCGTTCGTGTTTATGATATGAATCGGATCCACTCAGAGATATTACCCGGATTCATTGCAGTCTACATGGCCAAGCACTAATATCAAAACGATTTCCGAACACTAATGTTTGCGAACTGAATGGAGGCAGATTTCATTGGTCAGGTCGACGACTAGATCAAAATATTTTGCACAAATAAGAACATAAGGGCATCTGTTAGATTCCCTTCGTTAGTTAGTCACTCAGCGATTGAGCGGATTCCATCAAAGGATTTTGCACAAATAAGAACATAAGAAACTGGTGGCATCTACTAGATTCCCTTCGCTAGTTCGTCACTTAGCGATTGATTAAAGATTTTAAAGATCAAATTTTATTTCATTTGGTTAAATGTCAAATTTTATTTCATTTGGTTTAACGGTCAGTATTATCAGTTAAGGTCAGAGAAAAGAATATGATATCAAGATAAAAGAACATTGTTCATAAAACTTCCCTGTTAAACAAGAAAGGTGAAAACAACTATTATCAGACTTATAATTACATAAAATCAATGACTTAAACCTAATGGAAACAGGTCTAAAGGAAACGTCGCCAACGTATATTTTTCTATTATTGTGAAGTCCGTCTATCAGTAAAGAGATTTG